ACAGCGCACAGCAACTCACAAAGGATTGCTTCGCTGCGCCGGTAAAACCTAGGCAAAGCAGTTAATATGAAGATGCGAAGAAATGATAAAATAGATTTCGAGATGAGCAACGTGGCTTCGATCCCGATCGCAGTACTGCGGGCCAGACCTTAACACTCTGCGATTTCTCTTGGATCGAGGTCGTTAGCGAGAGAATAGTTTGTTGCAATTTAAAACAGCAACTCCAACAGCCACTGGGCGATTACTGAAGTCGCCGCTTAGTAGCTGTTTCAATGATGGCCGCCAGCAGCACATTCTTGACAGGAACAGGCTGCAATGTACTGTATTCATAGGTATTTAAGGCAGCGCTGAATTTCTGCCATAACTTTAGCTTCCTGTGGTAAGTAAAACGAGACAATGTTGCACAAAATCTGGCTGCCAACCGAAATGTATCAGATATTATGAGCGAGGCAAAAATTAGCTCACTGTCAATATGCCTGATCTCTGATAATTAAAGCATAATCGGTAGGCAATACTCAATGGAGGAGTACCAGAGCGACAAGATAGCTGTGTACAGAGCATTAATGCTGAATCACTATGAAGATACTACGAGCTTCGAATTTATAATTCATATCAAAAGAAGCATCCTGTTGAACATCCTTCGCTGAACATCAGTCATCATCAAAAATCCTGAACTTCAAAAATACCATCACTCAATTACCTCCTCCAAGCTGAAAAGTACTCCACCAATTGGAGCCCCAAAAGCCACGGAAACGCCCGCTGCCGCGGAAGCAGACAAAATCTAAAACAGAACAATGAACATCGCTTTGCGCTAGGAGTCCGTTGATAGAGACCTCTCGCTTTTTCGCTTCGTTTTTTCCATACTTGGGGAAGAGGTAAGAGAAAATGTTGCCGATGCAGCATGCCAAATGAACCATGGGACCTTCTTTGCCCAACGACAGTCCGGAAGACGCTGCTAGCGCCAGACCGACGCTTTTGATTATCAGCGTCCATTTGCCGAGGTAACCGCGAATGATAAATCCGCTAAGGATGCACTTAATCTATAAAGAAAAACTAATTCGCTGGTCATCAACAGAGGAAAATATGCATTACCTCAGGAATTCCTGAGCCACAAGCGTAAGGAGCAAAAACCCGAACTAACGCCACGGTTAGCCCGGTCATGAACAAAGCCCAGAACACGTAAAAAACGTAGCGCACAAAATATGCGAACGCATCCTTATCGTAATGGCCAAACAGTTCAGGCCATGTGTGCCACTAAAACATAAAAAGTAGCCAAATACTGCATATGTTCACAATCAGCACTGAACTTAGAGGCTCAGCCTTAAAAACAAGTAAACCATAGCAAAAAGTGGAAAAGCATGACAAATACCTCGATAACAAAATAAGATAGGACATGTGGGTACTGCAAAGAAGTTAAAACGTACTGAAAAAGGATGAGAATGAACTAGTCCACATAATACTCCATAAAGTTCTCCTGAAGCCACACCTTCTTGTTTTTATCTGTTTAAAAATGGATCTGCCGTTCGAGTCAACTACCTCCACATATTCCAATCCTTGGCTAAATCTTCTGTGACTCTTCGCAGTTTCCTAACGTATAAGACATCACGCCACCTTTTCCTTTGTTTCTCCAGTCTTCTCTTTCCTGGGGAGGAGAGGCAGTATTAGTGCTTTTTCAACCACATTTTCAACATAATCGCCGGATCTTCCTTTTATGACCGAAACAAATGAGCCTGCTTTTAATAAGCTTTATTGCAACTAGTTCCACATTGAGAAATTCTTATGAAAGTATTCTGGAAGTGATCATTATTGTTGTCACCACACATCTATCTGAGCATTCGCATTTCCACTCAGTTCCACTGTTGCTCCGCCTTCTATAAAAGCGTCAAGTTTATTATCGCCCTATGCATTTTTCCTTCTGGTTTCATTGGCATCTTCTTATCGCACAGTACGCCGCTCACCTCTCTCCACTGCAAATAAGCTTTTACGACCGAATCGTTTAATTTAATCGTTTTAATTCACCACTGATTCTCTCGTTGTCTAGAAGAATGAAATCTACTTGAATTCTTGTGCTTGATGTAGCAGACTGTGTATCACGACTGGTTCGTTGGCTTTTCAAACTTTTCCCTGACGAAACATACCGCTATATATTCCGACTAGTTCTTACTGAGCCAAACGCTATTTTTCACAAACACCATTCTCCATGCCTTGGTTATTGCCCCTACTGTTTTCACTATCCAGTAGCACACTGCCGCCATGGAGCATGCAGCACGGAGCTGCCTTCTACAAATCTTTATTTATCGCATGTTATCATTTAGAACAGATGACTTCGAAATGAACAGTGATGAACTCTTACTAGCACTTCTGATTCACTTCATGGGTTTCTAACTGTCGTTACCATGAAATGAGCGATATAGCATATTTTTCTGGCCTCAGGAGTAGCTGTTCTTCCTCATGCTGAACAAAATTACGCACAGAAAAACCTGACTTTGAGATATATGCAGTTCAAATTCAGGATCAGGATAAAGGTATTAGCAATTATACTGATGTACCCTTGTAGCTCTGCCATTATACACTTTTATCGTCTGTCAGTAAATAAAACTGATTCATTATTGTTTGTTGTGCCCATCGGCACAGACGGTCTGCATTAACAGATCATCACTGGTTTGTGACCTACACTGTCTTCTAAGTGTTTCAATGCGTTGCCATAAAACCGCAGTTACAGCGTCGTCGAAAGAACCGAAATAACACAGGTGCGACTACACTTTGTCCGTCGTGTTTTAGTTCTCATTCCTTCACGCTAAGCTCGCGGGCTTGAATAACTGGCTAAATCTGAGGCTTGTCCGCATAGGGGCAATATTTTTTCCCTTATCTCCAGTTCCAGCCGACTCA